CCCTCTCCCCCCACCCTTTCTCCCTCGCAACCCCCAGACATGGCTGGTCCTGACCTAAGAGGAACCTCCCCCCTCCCATCCTCCCTGGGTCCCCCTAAAAATTTATTAAAACACCCCTGTAAAAGCATTCTTAACTTAAATAATTTGGATAATTTTTTGTCCGTGACCGCTGCATGCCACCTCTCGGGGTTCTACACCCCATCCTCGAGGTAGGCCCCCGAGATGTTCCTGGGCCAGGCCTGCGCGAGGGGTGAATCGCGCAGGGCCAACAGGGCCGTCTTCGTGTACATAGTCCGAAACAAGGGAGTCCATGGCATAGAGGGAGGGGTGATGTTCAGTCCCCTTAGGTCTTTCAGAACCAGGCCAAACGGAGACACAAACAGGCCGCGAGATATCTTCTAGGCCGGGGCGGGCCAAGTCCAAGTCCAAGCCCAAACCCAGGCCCTTGCCCGGCCAAGGCCGCTGGAAAGGCCGCTGGAGAGGCCAGAGATCGTCAGGGCTGCTGGGGAGGCTCTGAAAGGCCTCCAGTTGAAATCAAAACGGCCAAAAAGGCCCTCGGATGGTCCAAACAGGCCGCTCAGCCATCGCGACCACCAGGGCTGCCACCACCGGGGGGCCGTCGAGGCTGCCCGAAGAACCCTCCGAAGGCCCCAGGTCGCCGGGGAGGCTGAGAACCATCGTCAGGGGGGGGCGCCTGTAGGGGCCGTCAAAGCCGCCCACAAAGTTCTTAGTCAGGCCGCCGCAGCCACCAAGGAGGCCGCCGAGTCCACGCGGGCCTCCAGAGATCGTCGGGGAGGCCCTCCAGGTCGTCCAGGACATCTCCGAATCCGGAAGGGGCCGAGGGGGGCAGCCAAAAAAGCCCCCACGGTCAAAGCGGGCGCCCAGGGGAAGCCGTCCGGGCCGCCCAGGCCACCGTCCCAGAGGAAGCCGCCCAGGCCGCCACAAAGAAAAGTCGTCCGGGCCGCCCAGGCGCCATCCGTACCATCTCCCACACGGAGAAGCCATACGAGCCGCCCAGGCCGCTGCCTCCCCCACGAGCATCTCCGCAGCCAGATGGTCCGGGCCGAGCGATTCGGGCCGAGCTGTCCGCCCCAAGGGCTACCGGAAAAGCCACCCACAAACCACCAACGGGACCGCCGAGGACGGAAGGCCGAGGAAGCCGAAGAGGCCGAAAAAACGGTAACCAGTCGGCTCCACATCCCCCGCGCCCCCATGCGTCCCGTATCTAGTCCAGGGGGGGCTTACCGGGAGGGGGGGAGTCTCCGGACCTTTCAGGGAGCTTTCCAAGCTCCCCCTTTAGCCCCTTTAGCCATTTCGGGCTCCGCGTTTTTCGGAGCTATTCACCGAAGACCGCCATCTCTCACGCATGCGCAGTCAAAGTCCATCACTGGAGGTTTTTAAGAAGAGATTGCACAGCCACTTGTCTGAAATGTTATAGAGTCTCCTACTTGAGCAGGTGATTGAAGATCTCCCAGGTCCCTTCCAACCCTGTTATTTTTGTACTGTAATATAGGTCAAGATAAACACAGGTAGTCCCCAACTTACACCTGGTTGTTTAACTGGAGATTTTCGAGAAAAGATTGGGCAATCATTTGTCTTAAATGTTATAGGGCAGTGATGGTGAACCTTTTAGAGACC